GAGAGAGAGAGAGAAAGAATTCTTTTTTTACAAATTCCTCAATGTATTCTAATTATCTACAAACGATTCATATTTTGCCAGTGTAATATAATACTTATAGTTTTCATTTATAAGAACAAAATAGATTAACAAATTTATTAAAAAAAGATGTTTATATTTCTTGTATTATATTTTATATAAAGTCATTAACTATAAAAAAATATGTTAAAAGGAGAATTAAAATGTTAAATAATTTGCTAATCCACAAAATTAAGATGTTCATTGCGAAGCAAATAAACATATAGATTAATAAGTATTGAGTAAACAGAGTTTGCAAAACGCTTTGTTACATCCATTTGCATGAGATCCTTTCTTTTTCCCATGATCCATAATTTCCCATAAATATTCCAGCTTAGCTGTCATAACGGAAGGCGTTCGGTCAGATGTCACGACCTTCTCATTAACCCCGGGGAGGCTGAGAGCTTCGGAATACTTGGCTTGACCACAAACTTCTCGAGAAGGATCAAGAAGGCGCGTCACGTCTTAAATTTGGAACGCCCATCCCGCTGCTTTTGAGGTTCGATCTTGGGATGCACCTGCAGCTCGCACCCACGCAGTTATAAGATTGTACAGGAAGAAACTGTTACCCCTAAGTTTCGAAATCTTCATTTCCGCTCACAATAAGTCTGGAGAGACTGGCTTTTCTAGTTTGAAAAGAACCTTCCTTTTGATTTGTGTGTAATCTCGCACTGAGCATAGTATATATTCTATGTATAATATACTAATCAAAAAAATCATTTAATTGCCGGAAAGAGAGTTTCATAAACTCTGACAAAAAGTAAAATCCGTATAAGCATTAGTATAATATGTATAACCAACGCTATTATACATCGAGGCGTCGAGGCGTGCAACTGATTCAAAAAATGTATGCGTGGGGTCGATAGGATGACATCTGGATTGTCGGGAAATGCAGTTGTAAATGCAGGAAAATATAACTCGCTTCCGTGGGAGTTTAATAAAAAAATACTGGCAGCGTCACTTATAGCATTCGCCATTTGTTTCTTCAAGAAGGGTGACATTTAGATATTTCTATAATAAATTCTTCCCTTATGTCTACATATTATTAATAATTAAGTTTAAATTGTAAAATAACACGTAATAATTCCAAAATATTATTAATTTAATATAATTATAAATTTAATTAAATTAATTAATATTAATTTAACAAAATAATTTAATGTAGAAAAAATTTAGTTCTGTACATTGGTTTTTATATTTATTTACTGTTTTTTAAAATATTTTTAAAAATATCGTATTTAAATAAATAATTGTAATAAGCATTAGTAACTACAAACAAATTTCAATAAAATAAAAGAAAGGACTATAATAAAAATTTATATATATTTAGAAAATAATGCCAACATCTTTGGCACAATAGCTTTAAAAATTTTAATCGTAAATCAAAAATATATTATTCAGATGAATTAGATTAGTGGGATTAGTTTACCGCTGAAAATCATGTCATGTACAAAACACACGTAAAGAAAAATATTTTATAATAGTAAGCTCGTTTTCAAATAACGCTTGATTTATTCCAAATAATATTTTTTCGACCAATATTTTTCGAGAATATATGATACAAAAAAATGATATCATTAATTTTTAAAATATTTAAAAAACATACTTTGTGTGCAAATAACTTATTCAATTTGTTTAAATTTTAACAATTTAGTTTATTAATAATTTTTTCATTTGATATTTTTTAAATAAAAATAGTGTGTAATTCTTCATCATAAATGTAAACAATAATAATAATTATTATAGCTTTGGTATTAAAAAATTGCAACTTATATACAGCTTCTCGCGAAGTCTAGTCTCGTGCATAGCACTCGATGCAGGTTGCACCCCATCTTGCCCCCTTGCGCAAGCATCGAGGCCCCGGAGAGAACCGTCCCATTCTCGCGTACCCCTTTCCGGAGTGGTCGTCTTTTACCTTGGCTCGCAAAAGTTCGTGCCCGCACGACGCTTACGAGCTTACGGCGAGGGATCACCTGGCGACGGTTCCCACGTTTCTGCGATTCGCGTTCGGCTTCACCCTTTGCCTTATATTCCGTCGTGTCGGTGGATTCCGGGTGCCCATAATAGCAAGCACGCAAAAGGCGGGGGGGGGACAGAGAGGGGATTGTGTAGAAGGAGCGAAAAAGATATGAGGAAAGAAAAGGAAACGAGCCGTGCCTCGTGCATCCATTATGGGGGTCTGACCGCTACGGCGGTGCGCGTGGCTGACACACGAGGAACCCGCGGCTCCCGACGGGATTCGACGTTTTATTACGAAGGGAAGAAGAAGATGGTCGGTTAAGTCGGGCCATGCGGAGGCAGGTATATATTTGCATAGAAAGACTGAAATTTTGTGTCCTCGCTGCCATAACTGTTTCCCTTTGAGAATCGTGGGAGGTTTCGTAGTCTATAGGCTTCTGTGAGAATGT